CCAGAAGTGGCGCTGTGGCTCAAGTGGTAGAGTGCTAGCCTTGAGCTGAAGAGCTGAGGGACAGCACCCAGGCCCAGAGTTCAGGCCCCACGACCGGACCAAAAAAACTCCCAAAACATTATTTAAAAAATCAATAAATAGCACAGGTGCTTGCTGGTCTCCTATTTTAGATTATCCATATCCTTCCCTCTTTTCCTCTTTCCCTCCTTCCTTTGTTTTCTCCCTTCCTTTCCTTTCTCCTTCCCCCGCCTCTGTCTCTCTGTCTCTGTCTCTCTTGAACTATACTTAGTAGAATGGTTAGTTTATAGATAAAACTTCCAGGACTTTCCTTCCCAGGCTACCTTTTTTTTTTTTTTTCCCGTGGTCCTGGGGCTCAAACTCTGGCCTAGGTGCTGAGGCTGAGCAGCGTTTTGCTCAAGGCTAGTGCTCCACCACTTGAACCACAGTGCCACTTCTGGCTTTTTCTGTGATTCATTGAAGACTCTCAAGGACTATCCTGTACCGGCTGTCTTGTCTTTGAACTACAATGTTCAGATCGCAGTCTCCTGAGTAGTGAGAATTACCTGTGTGAGCCACCAGCGCCCAGCTCCAGGCTAGCTTTTGAAACATCGTTCTCTAGACTTCAGCCTCCTGAGTACCTAGAATTGCAGGTGTGAACCACTGGTACTGGTTTTTAGATTTTCTTGAATAATTTTTTCTTCATTTACAACCATTTTCAGAGGGTTCAAATGTTCCCCTTTTAGAAATAATAAATCAATAATAAATTTATTAAATAATAAATAATAATAAATAAATATACAATATATAATAAATAAATAATATAAATAAATAAATAATAATAAATAAATTTCAGCACTGGCTTGACAGAGCTCCTCAGGCCACTAGGCAGAAAGTATAACCTTATTGCTGTCATTTGCTGGATGAGGACAATGGATACCTGTATGGAGAATTGGTAACAGGGAGGGAAGGAAAGTCTTCTGGGATCAGAATACTACAAAGGCCTAACGGACTGTAAAGAAATGCCCTGATACAGAGTGCTAACAAAGAAAATGGATGAAGTTGTTCATTTGTGTGTATGAAAACAGAACAATGAGGCAGGGGCTGATGGCTCACGCCTGATTTCAGCTATTCAGGAGCTGAGATCTGCGGATCATGGCTCAAAGTCAATAAAGGAGGAAATATCCAAGAGACACGGGTCTTCAAAAACCCCAAAGTGGAGGTGTGGCTGAAGTAATATAGTGCCAGCCTGGAACATAAAAGCTAAGCAAGAGCATAAGTGTTAGGGTCTAAATTTAAGTACCAGGACTGGCACAAAAAAGAAAAGAAAAGAATATAGAACAACGAAACTTGTAAAAATTGTTTTTTAAGGAGGAGTAGGGTAGAAGAGAGTAATAGAAATAGTGAGTGAGGAAAAAATAAGAAAGAAATACTTTGATAACAAGTTATCTATGTCACATGCTTCTGAATAATCTACCAACACTCTTACACATGGTCCTTTTGTCTCTTAAACAACCAGAAGGAGGAACTCACTGCTTTTTAAAGTGATTACTATCTATAACAGCAACATGACAGGAAAAATGAAAACAGTTTGTACCAGGCTAGGTGGGCTAGATTACAAACAAAAGAGAAAACAGGAAAAGAATAAAGGTTCTTGCCAAGTGCCAGTGACTCATGCCTACAATTCTAACTACTTAGGAGGCTAAGAGTTGAGGACCATTGTTCAAATCCAGCCTGGGCAGAAAAGTCGAGACTCTTATCTCATGGAGCTGTGGTTCAAGTGATAGAGCAGTAGCTATGGGGGAAAAAAAAAGAAAGAAAAAGCTCAGGGACAGCACCTAGGCCCTGAGTTCAAGCCCCAGCTCTCACATGCATGCATGCACGCATGTGCACGTGCGCGCGCGCGCGCGCACACACACACACACACACACAAATAGGTTCTTCAGAAGCAAAAACAACTTTGTCACTGGAAGGTCATGCCTTTTTGCATGCAGCTCATCATGTGTGGATGCCAGGTGCTGAGAGATGGCTCTAATTTTAGAATGAACATAGTGCTTATAAAGAGGTCCAGCACTCATTGGTCTGGAATGCAAGAATCTTTCACCTCAGGCCATGCATACTCATATTCTGTTGTTGGTTCTGTTCCAACCATTTTCCGATATAGAGGGAGAGAGAACCAAACCACAGAACTGGCATGTGCCTGAGAGATTTGCCAAAAATTTAGGATTTAAATGGCAGCTTTCTGAGATCACATTTGTGGTGGCCCCTGAGAAGCTAAGCTTTTCATTGTGACGCTCTGCTGATATCCTTGGACTTGACCAGATCTTTCTTTTGTCCTCCTCTGCTAGCTCTTTGTCTGGGGACTTGCCCTGCTGCAGGCATCACTTCGACCTCCTTGGTTACATCTTGCAGTTTTTTTTCAGTCAGTAGATTAGATCAGAAAGCAGCAGATCAGAGAGTAAGGAGAGAGAGAGAGACAGAGACAGACAAAGACAGACAGACCGAGACAGAGACACAGAGAGACACATACAGAGAGACAGAGTTTTCTCTGCAAACTGGCTAGGAATTGGGGTCCTACCTTTTTGGTCCTAAATCCAGTAGCATAATTTCCTGTCCTTGTACTTCTGGGCCCAAGTGAGACCGAAAGCTGGCTTCTGGGTGTTTTACCCACCTTTGTACCCAGAACGTTCATCTTATGTCTGAAACCAATTTCCACAAACATCTCTTCACTTTGGTCTTTATTTCCTATCTAATTTCTTGTTACTATCTTGCCCTGGTTAACTATTTCCTTCTGTCTCCCCAAACTTAAGAGAGAAAAGAGTCCTCATGTTTCTGTCCTAGCGTTAACTCTAGGGATGTTCATGCGCTCAGCTAGGTGCTCTGTAAATAGATGGCTTTATTCACATCCTGTCCTGGAATTTTAAGTCTCTGTTGGATACAGGAAGTTTATTCCACAAGCTCGTTCCAGAAGTAGAAAAGTTAACATTTCTATAAAGCTAGGCTGTTGCTTAGAACCCGAACTTGTTTGGTTCCTAAACTTTTCTAGCATCAATGTGACATAAGAAGTTGTGTATGTTTATGGAAGAAAGGGAATTTCAACAAACCCTAATTTAGTTTGGAGGAGTTGTCCTCTGAGTGTGTATCCCCAAGCCCTAGGTGATTTCAATTGTGTAAGATGAATAAGTTCTGAATAAGCTAATGCAGAGTTAAAAAGAATATTTTTTCTTGTTTGGTTTTTTGTTTTCGTTTTCTGTTGGTTGTGGTGCTTGAACTCTGGGCCTGGGTGCTTGAGCTTTGCTCAAGGAGAGCGCTCTACTACTTGAGCTACAGCATCACTTCCAGTTTTCTGGTGGTTAATGGGAGATAAGAGTTCACTGACTTTCCTGCCCGGACTGGCTTTGAACCGTGATCCTCAGATCTCAGCCTCCTGAGTAGCTAAGATTACAAGGCATGAGCCACCAGCACCTGGCCAAAAAACAAAAACAAAAATGTATATTTGAAATTTTCAAAGAGAAAAGAGCTTAAACACACACACACACACAGAATAAAAATTGTAATTCTGCTAAGTGATGGATATGTTAACTAAATAATGGCATTTCACAATATTATTCTTTCTCCATATTCAGAGCTAAGTGACTCAGCTTCCTGTTTGTAAATAGAAAGGGCTCTCCAACACCTACAGATCCATCTCTGCTTTTAGGCTTCATGTTACATGCAAGTCTAGGTAATATTTTACCTGGTAGTTTGCTGGCATCCTTGTTTGAATTATTTATGTACGGTGGTCACATACTTAGCACTTTTAAACACCATTCTTTAAAAGCCTGATAACCCAGTTATCTTCTGTTAACAGTGACCCAGCTTTTGCTAAATTAGAAGTGAGGGTTTGTAGCAGGGAAGGAAGAGGGGAGCATTCCAAGTCACCCAACAATTTCCAAACCCAAGTATTTGCATGGCTATGGATCATGACAGAAGCTGTCAGGCCAGCCTGGAAGCCTCAGTGATGAATATCCTAAGTTATTTCTGGACTGGATGATTGATGTTTCCAATAGAAGATGACATTTTGATGGAAGCTAAATGTGCTGTGATAGAGTTAATGAGGATAATGATGATGATAATGATATTTACATTGTATCTTTCTTCCAAAGAACCCTTTTATCTCATTTGTGTTGAGAATGTCCCTCTGGAGTTGAAGGGGGTGGGGAAGGGGAGGTGTTATTAAACTCTTCTTGAGAAGAGCAAATAGAGGGAGAGTTAATTGCCTGGCTTTCAGACTCAATTTTGATGGGAGGAAGAAATGTTTAGATAAACTGGGAGGAATTAAACTTTGAGAAATACCAGTCTTTCTTGGTTCCCAATTGTCCTACTTGATGATCCCAGGTCAAGCTCCAACAATGTCACTCCTTGCTCTTAAAAGTCTTCCAGGTACTGCCCATTCAGTTCAATTACCCTAACTCTGAAGGATGGACCTTCACATTCCAATCTACATTATGTCCCAAGTTGTAGCCCAACAGATGCGCTCACTGTCCCTACTATGTGTCTGAGCACCCTATTTTACTGTCTTCTGGGGCCTGAAACTCTGGGCCTGAACACTGTCCCTCAACTTTTCAGCTCAAGGAAAGTGTTCTACCACTTGAGCCACAGCACCAGTTCTGTTTTTTTTCTGCTTATGTGGTGCTGAGGAATCGAACCCAGGACCTCATGCATGCAAGGAAAGCACTCTACCATCGAGCCACCTTCCCAGCCCCCTTATTTTACTTTCATAAAACTTGTCACCCTTTCTGTAACTTGTCCAGTATTTGTCTTCTTGGCCTCAAGGAACCCACAGAAAGCAGGGAGTGTCATTCTTGTATCCCCAGGATCTAGCTGAGATAAGTGTGGCACATAGGAGGTGCTCAACAACCACTTGTTTCTGAAGTGTATGCTATACACCTTCGCTCATGGTGTTCTCTCCACCCAGAGAGCCAGAGCCAACATTTTAAGTCCAGATTCTTCTCCATGACTCGACTCGGGAAGTTCCTGACATTGCTCCTTGGTAATTCTTACCTTACTTCTGGTTGTGTTAGGTCATTAATTACATGTGCTGTCATCTACCTGCCTCTCACAAAGAGCTCTCAAATACAGGAATTTGCATCCCAGATATGTACTCATTTGTCTAACATGTTTGTTGACAAGTTTCTTTTCTTTTTCCTTCTTTCCTTTCTTCCTTCCTTTCTCTTTCTTTCTTTTTTTCTTTCCTTCTTTCTTTCTTTTTCCTCTTTTTCTTTCTTTTTTTTGTACTTATTTTAGGGCTTGAACTCAGGGCCTGCGCACTGTCTCTGAGCTTTTGTGCTCAAGGCTAGTGATCTACCACTTGAGCCACAGCTCTACGTCTGGCTTTTTGGTGGTTAAAAATAAAGAGTATTATGGACTTTCTGGCATGAGCTGGCTTCAAATTGCAATCCCTAGATCTTAGCCTTTCCACTTGCTAGGATTACTGGTGTGAACCCCAGTTCCTGGCTGACAAGTGTTCTTAATTGAGCAAAAGTCCAATTTCCAGAACATGTAGCTTGTCTCATTCTTCCCTCATTCTTTTGAAAGATTGGGAGGAAGATCAGTTGGGGAGCCCTGCCAACTCTGCCCTTAAAGAGAACTGCTTTATCTCTTGGTTGGAGAACACTATACTCTGACACTCAGGCGCAGGGTTCTGTTTTGTGTTGGGCACTGAACAACAAAAAGGGATGCTACCTGCATTTATATTTTGTATTTTATTTTGTGTTGGTCCTGGGGTGTAAACTCAGGGATTGGCACTGATTACATGTGTAAGTCATTGGTGCCCCAGTGCCCTTTTATTTTTAGCTTCATTGCCAAGGCCAATGCCAATGCCAACTAGAATAATGGAGAGTAAGAGCTACTGAGAAGATGTGATAAAATCAACAGCCTCTCAGGGAATTGTGTACTCTGTGCATCTGGTGAGGATTCCCATGCCCCAGCCAGTTGTAAGAATACATCAGATTGTACTAACTATGGGGTGTGTGAAAGCTTATAATCAGCACAGTTTTGATAGCCTGAAGACCCCCAGGTAATAGCAATCAGGCATATTGACCATCTGTGATAGAACACCCAGTGTCATTTAGAAAGAGCCACTTCAACAACTGTATTGTGGAATACTCATGGCTGTTGAAAATTGATGTTGTAGATCTCTATTTATTGAGATGGAAAGGTGCCCATAATATATTACTATGTGAAGAAAGCAGGCTCTAGGAGTGTATGATTATGTAAAATTATCCCATATTTATACCAATATCTATTCATAAATGCATGGATGTTCTCCAAAATGTTAATAGTAATCTCTGGGTGATGAAATTTTGAGTATTTTTTCTTTATTTTTAAAGTAATTTTTGGTATTGCTTAGATTTTATTTTTATAGTTTGCAGTTATTATTTAACAATAAAAACACAGCTCTCTTTCAGCTTACAAAAATAGTTGGAAATGTGACAAGAAAACTGCATTTAAAAAACCTTCAAATATCCTGGGCTGGGATTATGGCCTAGTGTTAGAGTGCTTGCCTAGCATGCATGAAGTCCTGGGTTCCATTCCTTAGTACCACATAAACAGAAAAAGCCAGAAATGGCTCTGTGGCTCAAGTAGTAGAGTGCTAGCCTTTATCAAAAAGAAGCTCAGGGACAGTGCCCAGGCCCTGAGTTTGAGCCCCAGGACTGGCAAAATAAATAAATAAATAAATAAATAAAAAGCTTTTCAAGTATCCTAAAGGATGCTTACTGTGAAGCAAAGCAAGCAAACAAAAACAAAACAAAACAAAAAAAACAAACCCCAAATTCTTCCATGAGCAAAGATAAAAATTATTCAATTTCCTTATAAATAAACCAAAGAAAGCTGGCTTATGTCCATAATCTTAGCTACTTAGGGGAACGAGCTATAAGGATCAAGATTTAAAGCCAACCAGAGCAGGGAAGTCCCTGAGATTCTTATCTCCAATTAACCTCCTGAAAATGGAAGTGGCACTGTGGCTCAAAGTGGTAGAATGCTAGCCTTGAGCAAAAGAGCTCAGGGACAATCCCAGGCCCAGAGTTCAAGCCCCACCACCAACAAAAAACAAACAAACAAAAAACCCTGAGAAGGTGTCCTCTATGGTTAACAGTAAAAGGGAAGAGACAGACCAGTTGGGTGCCAGTGGCTCACAACCTTAGCTACTCAGGAGCCTGAGATCTGAGGATTGTGGTTTGAAGCCAGCCTCAGTAGCAAAAAGCCGGAAGTGGAGCTATGGCTCAAGTGATAGAGCACTAGCCTTGAGCACAAAAGCTCAGGGACAGTGTCTGGTCCAGAATTCAAACCCTAGGACTGACAAAACAAAACAAAGAGACTGTTTCTAAGGAGAAGTATAGCTGAAATTCAGCTCTCTTGACTGAGCAAGGATAGTGTACATGCTTTGTAAGTGTCTCCAGTATAAAGCTCTTTTCAATTATTATTTCGCCCAAGCTTTGATGACAGTTAATTTACAGGTACAGAATTTCAAATATCATTGCTAGAGACAAGAGAGAAAATATCCTATGTCTGATGGCAAACAAATGATGGCTTTATTCCCCCATGATAGTTACCATTGCAAAAAAGAGACACGCCACTGGTCACAGTACAACTCATACTTTATTCCGTTGTGATTGGTACACATGTAGGACTGGGCAGCAAGAGACTAAAATCAGTGCAGAACTTCTCTGGACAAACAGGCCGTGGAAGGCATTACTGGTTTTGGCACACAGAGTGGCTGAAACGTTATGAGTAGGACAATAAACTACACAAGTATAACACCATGATGAAGTCATGTTGGAGCTGTGTATCATGTTAAAGAGTAAATAAGTATAGACGAACATGCAGCTTTATATACGTTACATTATTCATCTACCAACTATTCTCCCACCTTTGAGATGAAGAAATGGCCTTAGTAATAGTCTGTGAACAGTCACAGACACTTTCAAAGAACTATCAATACACTTTAGAGAGATGGCCACACGGATTTCCATAGCAAGCCAGATAGTTGAAGAAATAATGCTAAATGAGGCATTTGCACTATATCATCTTTAGTTAGACTGCATAAGACTGATCAAGTAACTCTGACTCACCTCTTACTTCAATATAAGTCCTCATGTCTTTATAATGCCAATAGTAGGGTTCTTTTAGTTTTTTTCATCATTAAAATCACAGGGACCCTAGTATCAGGTACCTTTCCTTTACAAAGGGAACACTATACTGATGAGAAGTAATTCTATTATGCTGGGAATATTACATCATTATATCACACAGAGAGTGCAAAGAAGTCAGCCCATTCGGTAATATAGCAGTACAGAATAAGATGTAGAAGAGGCATAGAGATTCTGAGTGATCTCAACAAGAAAAAAAGAAGGAAAGAAAAAAAGAAAAAGGAAGCAAAGGAAAGGGAAAATGAAAAACTGCCTTAGGCAGAACAAATTGATACAAAGAAAAATCTATTCACTTATAATTGGCTAAATATCATAGAGAACAGCCCTCTGATTTGGGATGATAGAAGGAATGTTATTGAAAATTACATGCCAGTTAGCCCCCACTGGCTGATTGGGTTGGGTTTGCCTGTGGTTGTTTTTGAGATGGTGAGCTCTCACAGGGAGAATTTCTGCCTTATGCCAGGGTAAGGCTAGATTTAACCCCAAGGGGCAGCCATAATCGCAGAGAACAATTTTCTTTATTAACTTAGGCATGTGGCTAGCCTTCATTCTCTCCAGTAGAAACATATTATTCACCCATGATGAGATGTTTCACAAGACAATAGCCACCAGGTCATGGTTCCTTCACAGAATGCACATAGGTCTTTGCATGTGATATGAATTTGTGAGTTAAACAACAGGTCAAATTTCTGGAAGAAAGTCAATTAAATGAAAATAATAGATGTGGTTAAGAATGTCTTGATTTTCTCTGGTCTCTTACTTTCATCTGCTGAGGGGTAGAGAAAATGAGTGAAATCACCAATGTAAGCAATGTTTGATCACAAATACAGAGGTGAGCACAGCTAGATTGGGAGTAATATTTCTCAGTCTCTTTGATTTTTAAATCTTTGGAAGGTGGAGATGGCTAGGAAGTTTGATGATATGCTTGGAAAGTCCCATTTCCCTGGCCTGATTCAGCTTCATATAAAAGAATGATCTCTCCTTTTGCAGTGGCATTGTTCTTTGTGGGAGATTTTTGTCAAATGGAAGTGGTATAACTTGAAAGCTAGAGGAAAAAGAAGTTTGACTTGAATGTCACAATAAATATTCACTGATACTTCCAAGTGGAATCATCTATTGTCAAGCCCTAAGTTCTTGACTTCCTGAACAGGCTCCTTGACTGTGGGGGCTGCTCCCTCTGGCATTCTAAGACGTGATGTCTCTTGAAAGGATGACTTTGATAGACCTTCACGATTGCAAGGGGTTGAAAGCTGGAAATAGGGTGAGTCAGATTAGGGGGAAAACAGAAATAACCTGAAGGAAAAACTGAGACTTTCCTCTCAGGGCCTCTAAGACCAGTAAAGAGGCAAAAATTCACGGTATGTGACTTAGAGACTCTCTAAGATGTTGTACCCATGGGGTGTTTCCAAGTGTCCTGATCTAGGCTCCCTTAGCAACCATCTAGTGCAGATATTACTTTTGTAGGTGTGGTGCTCAACTTCTTCTGGAATTTCTATCTCTGGGGCAAACTGTTGGGATCTGCCTTGGTGTAGTGAATGCTCCCTGAAGCAGTCACAGATATGGACTGCTGGTATTAAAAGGTGTGGCCAGGGGGCAGAGGAGACTGCTAGCAGACAACATAGCCCTGAAGGAAGGTATCTAATACACAGACTTTGGATTTTCCCCAAGGCCAAGGTATTTGTGAGGAAACTAGAAAAGGTCAAAGAAAATACCTTGGAACCAAATATGATTCATGATGCAGAGAAGAAAACCTAGTTTATCTGACTGATTGGGAAGACAATCTTCGGAATATATGGCAACTGAATGACTTTCACACAGATATACAAACACCATGATGAGTGTTTCCATACTATTATTAATCACATTGCAATGATTCATTAGCTTTCTATTTTCTAGGTTGCTTAATTAATTTAGCAAATCCACAGTTTAGGTACCACCATGAGAGGAAGGAGGGTGAGGGTGCAGAAAATGAAGCAATTAACCTTGGAATTAAAATTTTGTAAACAAGAGTTAGTAGCACAGTAGATTGTCAAGGATAACAAAGGGAGTAGGTAGAGAGTCACCGGCCTGGCTTGGGCCATCTTGCTGGCTACCAGAGAGGAACTCTGTGGCTTAAGAGTCCCCCTTCTTGTTAATTAAAACAGAGCAGCAGGTGAGCAACCCATCCACCTTTTCCATTTCAGAAATGCTGACAGGGATCAGCAGATGGTCCTTCAGTTTCTCATAAACCTACAGGGGGAATCAAGGGGAAGGGAGAGAAGGATTAAACGTCAGCCTGTATGACCACCTGCAGGTGCAAGAGGGAATTCTAAGCTTTTCAATCATTGAACCCCAACATACACATGCAACCTAGACCCCCAAAACTCTCTCTACAGAGCTGGTTGCAACTGGCTAACCAGTTAAAGCATAGTGCTTTAACCTCAAAAGCAAAGATTTGTCAGAGATGTGGTTCGTTAGCAACGGTCTTTATCATTGTGTGGCTAGATTAAGAGATAAATAGAAGTTTATGGCCACAAGTTCATTCTGATTGTTATTTGGTGTCTACAAATTAAAAAGCCCTTCCAATTACACTTTAATGTTTCTTTCCTTAGCAATACCACTGGGAAACTTGTACTAGATGTACTTTAAGTGAATATTTCAGGTCATCTGCTTTTAAATTATAGGTGTGAATTTTATAGCATCTTTCAACACTAGTAGAAAGCATGTGTTGAAACATTTTGTTTTGCTGTGATCAAAGCACACTTTAAAAACCAAAATCTCTTGAAAAATATACTGTTGAAAAACACTACTTTTTTGTAGGACAGTGCTAGGAATTGAACCCTGGGCCTCAAGTGCTTGGTAAGCATCGGAGGAATGTCTCCAATCCTTCATGCTGTAGCTGTTGTTTTTCAGATGAGGTCTCCTTGAGCTTTTTGCCAGCCTGGAAATGAGATATTCCTACCTATGCTTCCTGGATAGGTGGGATTACAAGTATGAATCACCACACTTAGCTTATTCTCTGATATAAAATCTTGCTAAGTTCTTTGCCTGGGTTGTCCTTGAACTGTAATCCTTCTATCTTTGCTTCTCAAGTAGTTGGGATTGAACTACCACTCCTAACACATTTTCCATGCTTCCTTGGGAAGCACTATGTTCTCTAACACAGTGGTTTGAGTGCAGAAGCCAATTGGATTTCTAATTCCATATTGCATTTTACTACTGTGATTTCCCCTCTGAATCTTTTTCACTTGTCTGTACGGTTTAGGGTGGGAGTCCAGGACCTATATTTTTTTAAACAATACAAAGACACATTAGATTATGAAATCTACCATTCATTTTAGTGCTTCGTCCTAGTCTAATATCAGAAATCCTATATTTTCCTTGGGCTCAAACTCTCAGCTATGGAAATAGAGAGAAATTATCTGTGTTATTTTTCCCACTCTCCATTTTTTATATGCTGAGAGTGACCACGATTAGAGGGTAACCTTATAATAATATACACTGCATATCTAAGAAGTGGCAAGGAATAATTTCTGGGATTTCCAAAGCACAAGACATTAAAAAAAATCTCAAAGGCTACTAAATGTTTATCTGTAGTGCTTGGCCTGGATATCATGTTCTTCTAGATAGAGATGAAGGTGTTGGGTGCCTGGATGATATAGTCACTTGGGGAACCACTGCTGTGGTCTGGCATGCTTGCTGGGATAAACCTGAAATTCTAAAGTGTAGAGATGAGACTGACAGAGTGCACTGAAAGACACAAACATTTTCTTAAACCAGGGAAGGATTTCAGATGCAGGGACAGCTTCCTTCACAGACAGACCAGTTGTCTGATTCCAGGTATGTCATATTTCTCTCTGTTCTAGCTTCTTGTCACCTTGATGTGAAGCTCTGACAGTGAGCACTCACCTCTCTGGGTCACTCATACTCTTCTATGTTAAGAAGAAAATCACTCACTGCTAAGGGGTGGCTCAGATTTATCAGAGAGAAGGACACAGTGAACCATTTAAGTGTAGATCTTTAAACTTAAGTGTATCTGGTGTAGGAATGCACATTCAGCTAGAGCTGGAGCACGTACTTGAGTAGTTGGGGTACTTAAAAAACTTTAAATAGAAATACGTTGTCTCAATTACTGGGCATGTATTAGAGAACAGTGACATGATTGAGAGAAGTAAATAAAACTAGTTTTCCCTGAGCTCTAAATTACACTTTCTGCTTGCTGACTAATGTGATATGTGCAGAGGAAACAGAAGCCCCATGTGTCACTACATCATGCAGGAAGTCCCCAGGGAGGTTACTCAGCTGTAGGATGGAAGGTGTTTTTACCTTTGCACTTTCTGGATACTCTTCTGGGGTTCGGTACAGCAAGACATGTCCTTTGCTGGGGATATTGAGATACACACAGTTTGCAGCCATGTCATCAGGCACCGTGAGCTTGTCATAGCGGTGGTCACTCATTTGTTGCATGATCTATAAAGAGAAACAAAGCAGGCCTGAGCAGAGACTCCCACATTTCACAGGGGGGGGGGAAGGGAGTGGAGTGGGATGTAAGCTTGTGATTGATGCCTTAGGCTGCTTTGCTGTTCATGCTCCAACTATTACCTCAGTCACTTAGAATAAGAGTCAGAAGACCTGATTAAGCTGTGAGTCTGTCAAGGAATTGCAGAGGTTTGGTCCTTTAAAGGGCGAGTTTATGCCTAATTCTTTTTTTTTTTTTTAAGATTTTACGCCATTTATCACCTACCAGTAAGACACAAAATGGCCATATGTAAAAGTCCCAGTAGAGATTTTGATGAGGTTCTTCGTAGAGAAGCAGTTACTCTGATATATAGGGGGAAAAAAGGAAGGAAGCACCATTGGAATATTCAATAATAAGAGTTAGCAGAAACACTCTCTCTCGCTCTCCTTCCTCTCTCTCTCTCTCCATCCCGCCTTCCTTTGCTCTTCTATTGCCTTAAGTTGAGTTGACTTGCCAGTCTCTTGGGAGGATTTACCCTTGACTATGATGAACCAACCTGACAAACTCATATTCCAAAGCATCATCCTGAATAATTCTGATTTGGCAGATCTAGGGTGAAGCATAGGAATTTTCATTTTGAAGGCCCTTCAGATAATTGTGAGGCAGGGTATCCTGAACCACACTTGGAGAAAAATTGACTTAGTAAGGTCTGTTCTTCAATTGGTGCTGTTATTAGGACTTTAGTGTAAAACAACTGGAAAGATTTAAAAAATGACCACTGTATGAAGTCTGAAAGATTGAAGTCTCATCCTTATTTACTTAATACAGTCAAAACAAAATGGTTCTAAACCAACATTCCCTTCATACAACAAAAATATTAAACATCAAAGCAAAAGCTAAAGTTACTTTGGGCTTAATCATGCAAACTGTTTTCATTTTTTAAAAATTAATAGCCATGCTATTCAAAATCTGCTGAAATGTCATGTTCTAAAGGTATAACAAGGGGCTGGGAAGGTGGCTCAGTGGTAGAGCGCTTGCCTTGCATGCATGAGGCCCTGGGTTCGATTCCTCAGCACCACATAAGCAAAAAGAAAAAAAGCCAGAAGTGGCGCTGTGGCTCAAGTGGTAGAGGGCTAGCCTTGAGCTGAAGAGCTGAGGGACAGCGCCCAGACCCAGAGTTCAGGCCCCATGACTGGAACAAAAAAAAAAAAAAAGAAAGAAAAAAGGTATAACAAGATCTTTCCCATAATGTGGTTCTTTTTTATTTTTGCCAGTCCTGGGGCTTGAACTCAGGGCCTGGGCAATGTTCTTTAGCTTCTTTTGCTCAAGGCTAGCACTCTACCACCTGAGCCACAGCACCACTTCTGGTTTTTTCTGTTTATGTAGTAAAGAGGACTCAAACCCAGGGCGGGCTTCATGCATGCTAGGCAAACATTTTACCATGAAGCCACATTCCCAGCCCTCACAATCTGGTTCTAATCTACCTTTCCAGACAGACCTTCTTTTGGAGTAATTTGGAAATGTGCTCAAATTACAAAGTAGATTTGCCCCCCACCCCCTTCCCAGTCATGGCAGCACTGGTCGGTAAGATTTATGGTACAGAAGAGTGGATGATACACTGCATGCTCCCTGTAGAAAATCCATTCCCAAGAGAACACAAACAGTGGCACTCAGCAAACCCTTCCTGACCCACCATTCAGATAAATCATTCACTTCTCCCAGTGTGAAATATGTCCAGGACAGAGAGAGGGCAGACGATTAGACAGTGGAATATATCTAATACGGATGTATTTGCCCATTATGAAAGGTGAAAACAGGATGTGAGCTCAGTTTTCTAAGACATTATAGCATTATAGTCCCATGGGGGAGGGGGACAAATACAGTGATAAGTACATTACAGCACCTAGGTTAGATACTTTATACTTATTATCTCATATCAAAAGTCCCATTCTGTAGATAAAGAAACTGGACTGAGAAGGCAAATAATATGCTCAAGATCATATAGATTCAACCCACACTAACTCAAGAAAGAACTCTCTTAGTTATTCCTTCTTTCCCTACTCTGTCTCTCCCTCCCTTCCTCCTTCTCTTTTTCTCTCTCCCCTTCACCATCCCCCCTCTGTTCCTTCCTTTTGGTGTTGGTACTAGGGCTTAGACTCAGGGTCTTGGGCTCTTGCTGTTTTGCTCTTGCTGCTTTTTGTACTCTACCAGCAGAAGCACGCCTCTAGTTCTTTCCTTTGCTCTTCCTTGACCTCCACAGCTGCAGAAGATCTCTCCTTACTACTCATCGGCCTAATGTCCACTTATTTCATGTTCATTTGATATTTATCTTTTATTCTCTTGCATCATCCTTAATTCCCTTTTCACACGTAATTCTATTTCGACATGGTACAGTCTGATGTTGTGAAAGTGCTTGAGTGGACCTTTTTCTTGCACTTCCAAATTTAAACTATTCTTTGAAGGGGAAGCCCCTACTACAGGTCAGAACTGCGATTGAGAAACCTTAGATCTATTCCAACCTGGGGACAATTAAGAAGTTGAAGACACACCTAAATTTTAACTTTTCCAGGCAAATTAGTAACAGATTCGACATAGCCCTATTCATGAAATGAATAGGCTCAGAAATAATATTGAGAAGCCTAAGAGAACATTTCCAGACTCAAATAGCTTTATTCTGTTATGAATTGCTATTCAATTAGTTTTCTGCACTTTTTGTTTTTGTTTTTTTCTGGTGTGTGGGGGGGGCTTGGTCCCAAATCACAATAACAACCTTTCATCTGTTATGGTTTGGGGGGGAACATAGTCAGATATGAGCTCTGGAGTCAGACTTGGATTCGAAGCTGGACACCCATCTTTTATTACTTATGGAATTTTATCTTTTACATTTCTTGATTTCCTCATCTGCAAAACTGGGATAACAGTTTTTCATTTTTCACATACTTGTTATCAAAGTTAAATGAAGACAATGTAGATAAAAAGATACAGCTGTAAGGCTGGAAGTGCGAAATAAGCTACTAGTGTATTATGGCAGTGTGGCCAATCTCCAGTCTGCAAGCCCATCTTCTGTTCTGGTTGGCTCTGACTTTAAAGCTCATTTATTTCCCTCCCTCTCTCAAGCCCTCCCTCATTCCCTCTCTTCCTTCTCTCTCTCTCTCTCTCTGTCTCTGTCTGTCTCTTTTGTGCTGCTATTGGCACTCCATTTAAATCATGCATTCAGTCCTTTAAGTGTGTTCTTAACAGCCTGTTTTGGAGGTCATATGTGATTTTTGAAATCACATAAGGTTACAACTGAAATTGGAGGTGTAGCTCAAGTGGTAGAGCTCCAGCTCTGAGCAGAAGATTGTAACTTTGGTGGTTTCTCTAGCCTTTTCCCCAAGGCCTCCATTATTTAACACATAATTGAATAGTCCTGCAACATTGGTATCCTGCTTAGATCTCCTAGAGAGAACTCCTATAAAGTTCACAAACTTTTGTGAAATCTTTGTCTCTTTCTGCCTCTGTCTGTCGTCTCTGTGGCTTGGGCTAGATTGTTCCACTGCTAGCTTTTGAATGCAGGTCCCAGGACTAATGAATAGAGCCTTGGTTCCAGAATAAGAGATTGTGTGATCTAGGGAGAAGTCCTTAATCAACATGAGTCTTAGTTTCTTCATCTGTAAAATGGGATGGCAATAGTCTACTGATTCCTCATAACTCTAAAGTTTATTTTAAAAGCGACAGAAAATGTATGTAAAGGACTTAGCACAAGTTCCTAGTACATATTAAAGTGAAATAAATGTGAGTTCCTTTCCCTCTTTGGTTTTTGCAAGTCACTTGCATATGGCAGGTAATCAAATTCTCTTGGTAGCTAATTAATTTATTTCTTCTTTTCATTCATTCAACAGATATGGGGAAACTCACTATGGTGAATGATGTGACTGATTGCATCCGTGAGATATGTGAATAATTGTAATCCCTCCAAAAACAAGACAGGACTTATGTCCAGAAATAGAAATACAGTTCACCGACTAAAATCAACGATGCCAAGCTTGGGCATTTTTGTAAAGCCACATAGGAGAGCACTCTACTCTGTGGTCCTAACCCAAATGACTTCTGAAGACAAATTAGGATAGTAGGAATAGAGAACCTATGATGTACCTGAGGCATAAACCAACCAAACAAAGAAAATTGGTGTATACAAAACAGAATGCACAAATTTCCACCAGTTTGTGACCCCCTACTTTATTTTATATAATTTGTGCTATGCTAGGAATTGAACCACTAAGTTACATCCCCAGCTCGTGACTTATAATTTAATTAAAAAAAGTCCAGAAATTCAATGAGTGGACAGAATTCTTCATGTGTGTAATAGAGATATCTCTAGATGTGCCACTAGGGATTTTATTAGAATTTGTAAGACTTTTCAGTAATTGCTATGGTCAACCTGTTTCTTCCCAGATGCAGAACAGAATGCCCCGTGTCTGAATTCTTCTCACTGTGTGCTACTAAGATTGGACCAAGACGGTCAGGCTGCTGTCTGTGTCAGAACTGTCTGTCTTCCTTTAATACTAGCTAAATCTAGTTTACCTTAGAAGTTCTAGATTTCTTCCTTATGGCTGAGACGACAACTCCTTGTGCCAAGGACTTACGGAGGAGAGCTCCAGTGACTTTAGGATTTCAAAGAGTTCCTGAAAACATGGCCTGTATAGCCACCGCTACTATGAGCACTTAGAAACTGCTAAAAAGCACACTGTTCGGGCCCACAAGTGAATTGGAAGTAGTATAAAATGCTTGGCATCCCTGTCTCCATTCTTCATCTGACTTTGCTCTGAGCAGTCCCATTGGAATCCAGACAGAACTGGCCCAATCACTGAGTGACTTGCCTATGACTGGGCTGCCTGCCTAATCATGGGAGATGATCACCCAGACCACATCTCTGACCCCCTGGAGCCCCAGACCACATCTGTTGGATAATTATACTTACCTTTCACCTCCTGCCTCAATTCTTTTTTCCATTTAAATCTAAAGAAGTCTG